GGGGGTCCTGACATAGGGGATCGGCAGAACCACCTCGAGGATCACCAGCGGGGTGACGTGCCCAGTTCGCAGTACTTGACTGCACCCACCACGTGTGCCCCCTTCTCTAAGTCAAGTCCTGGTTGCTGCTTTTAGAACTGCCCTAGAGTCTGGCGAAAACATTATTGCCCCACTTATAACAATCAACGCTTGACTTATAATCATTTCTGACTTAAGACAAATCACGCGGGAAGAGCACGCTCTTGGGAGCCAGCAAGGCCTGGGTGGGGATCTTTGAGCCTCCCCTTGGGCAGCCTGCTCAGCGTCTCTGAGATGCTATTTCCTCATCTGTCAAATGGGAACAGTATTACCCACCTCACCGAGAGAGGAAATAAAATGACGTACGTGTAAGCACCCAGCACCGTGCCTGGCGCTGAACAGACAGATGCCCGATAAATGTTACTTTCCTCCATTCTTTCAGGGAGCAGGAGTTTGAAACGAAAACAACAAACCTTACACACAGTAGAAAATGTCCAGGGAAGCTTTTCAAAATGCCCAAGCGAATAGATGTTTGGCCTTGTTACACATCACCTTAAAAGTCAGTGGTTGTTTAGAGATCTTGAAAAGATGCTCCTTCTCAATTCCCTTAGATTGGACTGACTTCTGTTGTGAATACAGGCTTCCAAGAGAGATCCCAGCAGGCCGTAAAGAAAATGCAGGTGTATCACAATGTTGGTACCTTTGCCGAACACTCCTGGGGTCCAGCGCAGAGAATTCAGATCAAGTGTTTAACCTGCCGAAACGACACCTGCTCCTAGTCTAACTCTCACAAGAAGAACCTTGTTCCTGAGAATTTAGCTAGTAATGGATTATTTGGACTGTATTGTTCAAACTCTTTCCAGGCAAAATGAGAACATTATAGTGGTCTGAGAGAAACAATGCACTGTTATATTTGGGGTGTACAGAGAGCGCCTTGCTGTCAGGTGCTGTCTGAATTGAGTTTCAGAAATATCTGCCCACATCCCTCCCCCTGCTCCCCACTCTGTCCAACCCGGTTTCGCCATGCAAGGGAAAAAAAATCTTTGTTCTTTGTGTTGGTTGATTAATTTTAGGTTCACCGTTCTTATCCTGTATCATGCTCATACAGGTAATTATGAAATACATTTTTATGTATCACACGGCTCCTCCTTCTGAGGAACCAAATCAGAAAAGGAATTTAATACCAGAAAATGCCTCTGCTTTCTCTGGCTGCACAAACAGGAACTTCAGTGAAGACCGTTGGGTTGCATAAAGTCACAGGTGTCCTCTTGGAACCTTCTCTCTTGGCCCTTTGTAAGGGGAGCCTGTAGATCCTATTCCCGGGGCAAGGCGGTCACAATAACTCCTATTCTCTGAAGGCCACACTCTAGAAACTGAGAGAATAATCCTTGTAAGACCCATCGTATGATTTCAGAGCCTGGAAAGACCTTCGAAATCCTCTGATCCAATCCCCTTTGTTTTACGGGAGAGGAAACTGAGGTTCAGAGAGATCCACATAGTTACTAATTTATTTTTTATTAAACACCTGCCTGCCGTGTGTGTCTCAGGAACCGTGCACACAGTAGGAGGCTCACAGTAGGCCTCCAACAGGTTAAGTGCATTGCCAGATGAAGATCAGAAGTGACTCTCTGGTAGACGAGAAACCAGCCAGCACATGCTAAGGAGGAAGTGAGCCTTGGCTGAGCCCCTTTGGCGCACGAGCAAGAGTTCTCCTAGGATCTGAGGAGCTGGGGGAAAGTAGGAAGAGTACAAATGGGGAGGAAAAAAACAGGAACTTTAAGGGGGAGGGTGTAGCTCGGGTGTAGCTCTGGTGTAGAGTGCATGCCTAGCATACACAAGGTCCTGGGTTCAATCCTCAGTACCGCCATTAAATAAATAAACAAACCTAATTACCTCTCCCTACAAAAATTTTTTAAAAATAGGGACTCTAATAGGGCCCCATCCTCAAGGAACTCACAGTCTGCAGTGACTCCTGGCTGAAAGGCACTTTCTAAACCAAGCATACTACACAGTATTGACCCAAACAAGATCATATATTTAATGACCCACTTATATAGTCCTAGAGAAGTTTGGGAGGAAGAGAAAGGACACCTGGCTCCCAGAGGAACAAGCCTGGCGTTTTCCTCACTGGACTGTTAAAGCCACAGCTCTCTTTTTTAATCCATGTACCCCTATAATTACGACACGGGGGCAGGGGCTCGATCGATGCTTATTGAATCAATAAAGTGGCCCATTTGATACTAAAATAATGGGTTTATTTATGCAGGAGTGCATTCTACTCACATGGACCTTTTTCCTTTCTCTTTCAGTGGCCCACCCCCAGGACCCCCACCACCCCGCGGAGAAGCCTGTCATCCACTGCCATAAATGTGGGGAGCCGTGCAAGGGCGAAGTGCTCCGGGTCCAGACCAAACACTTCCACATCAAATGTTTCACCTGCAAAGGTACGGAGCCTGCAGCCTCCTGGCTTTGTGGCGTCTCCCACTCGGCGCTTGCCTTGGAGGCGGCCCCCTCCCCTTCGCTCCGCCCCAGGGCGCCGGCTGGTCAGTGAGTGTGCCCACAAGCCCTGGCATTGCTCACCGTCTCTAACTGGGATTGGATTAAACTTAAGGGGGAGACCGAGCGCCCCCCAACGCAAGACCAGCAGTACACGGGCTTTTTGGGTCTTCACTGAGGTCCCTGATCCTGGGAGGAGAGACAAGTGAAAAATGCAGTTTTGTGTTTTGTACTTAATATTTCCTTTCCGCCGAAATGAGGGACTCCTCCTTCGAAGTAACCTTGTCCCAAAGCCATTGTTTATAGGCGGGCTAGATAACGTAAAGATTGGGGTGCTAAGTCTCTGGTTCCTCTGTGTGTGTGCGAGGAGTGAGCATTAAGCAAGAACCCTTGGAAGGCCTCCAAGCAAGAAGATGCCTCCCACCTAAGAAGCTGCCCATTTGCAGTTGATTTCTGTTAACAAGCCCCTCTTTTGAGGTTTACACTCTTGGCATCGATGTGTGAGATATGCCGTCCTGGTTCACTGGAGCCAGGGCATGGCCGAGCTGGGGCAAAAAGGAGGAAGAGAGTTGTTTCTGTGTGTTTATTTGAGAAGGAGGTTCCCTGAGCTGAGGGCAAGTCTGGGTAGCTCAGGTTGGGGCTGAGGGGTGGAGGAGGAGATGGAAGGCGGCAAGGCTCTGAGCCAGCTCTGGAGCTTGACTCTGAGCTCTGCACGTGGTACGCACCCTCATCCCCGAAACCGTGTTTCATTTTAAGTCTCTTGGGTTACCAGGGGTCATCGTTGCCATCTTAGGCCAGCTGCCCCTGGGCTGGGGGTGGGTGGCTCTCAAGTAGACTCCAGGCTGCCTAGAGACCCTCAAATACATGATAAAAAGAGGGACAGAGGCTTTTCTGGAGTCCACAGCGGTTTCCTTCACTGAGCGTAAACTTTTCATTGTAGCTCAAGTGAGAAGATGGGAGGGGAAGGAAGGGGAGGGGAGGCAGGAGTTTAACTCCCACTGAGCCTAACTTGGGTTACAAAGGCCATCATGAGCATCTTTAGGGAGAGAGATTCTTTAATCCTACTGGAAACCCCTACAAGTAAGTACAGTAAGTCCTCAGGTCTCAGACAACCCAAGTTGGTTATCAGGAAACGTCAGGGTCACACCCAGGGCCTTGACTGTGCTGCCACTCTGTGTGGCTTAAGTCCTGCCATTGCCGCTACAGCAGCTCTGTTGGCTCGGGCAAGTTACCTGTCTCTCTGTGGCTCTGTGTCCTTACCTGTAAAATAAAGACACTAGACCACGTGAGATTTAAATCACCCCAGGTCTGAAGTTTGCCGATTCCACAGACACATAACCACGTAGTGTATAATATAGAACCCAGAGGATTACTGGATTAGAGTCTCTTAGGTAGCATGCCAGAGGAAAAATAACTGCTGGTGACATCCGGATTGGCTAACTTGGCAGCAGGCACTATATCTTGCTTTATTTTTTGCTCGTAACTTTCCTGAGACATGGCTTAAACAGTGTAGATTTGGTATGAAATAAATACAACCTGTGAACAAGGGCAGCCCTGAAAGTATTTTATATTTCTGGCTGGAAGTACGTAGTGTTAGCCTCAGAATAGTCGCTGTTCAACACATCAAGATACTAGAATAACACGTTCATTTATCCCCTGGAGAGTGGAATCTTCCTTACTTTTCTTCTCTTCTAGTTTAAATCTAAGGACTGACTATAAGTTATTTATGTTGGAAAGCTATACCATATATATTTTGTTTCATGCTATCAATGTGTTCCTGAAAAGTTGAAGTTTTTTATGTATTACATCATATTTTGAGAGCACTTATTGTTTGTAGGAATTATTATTAATTTAAATGAAACTATACTAAAATAAGTTCTTGTAAATTTTTATTTTTCTCATACTTAATCTGTCAATGTTTGCTGTCTTAGGTCTGCAACTTTCTGGGGTCACCCTTTTTTTCATTATCCGAAGATAGTGCCTTGAGCTGCTCATGCTTATGCTCTTGCGAGTCCATGCATTTTCCCCAAGATTCTAGACTAGTGTTGTCCAATAGACGTATGGTGCAAGCCACATATGTAATTCTGAATTTTCTAATAGCTATCTTAAAAAAGATATAAAGGGACAGGTGCAATTAACGTTCATAATATATTTTTTATTCGTCCCTATATACCTCAAATATTATCATTATCATTTCAACATGTAATTAAAATAAAAATTATTGAGATCTTTGACGTTCTTCTGTTTTCATACCAGCTTGACAGCACATCTCAGTTTGGACTAGTCCGTCACATTTCAAGTGCTCGACAGCCACAGTAGTTAGTAGCTGCAGTATTGGACAACACAGTTCTCAGGATTCCTCGGGGTTTGCATTCTTGCAGTCCCCTCTTGCTCTAAATTCCTGCCATTCCCAAATTCTTGGTCTCCCCTTTATGAGTGCCACGCTTTTTGCATGGCTTCACCCTACACTGGACAGTATTTCTCGTCCTCCTTTTCCAAAGGTACCACTTTATAAGGCAGCTGTTTTCAGGAGACTTTACTGAACGTTTGGGAAAATAGAGGGAGTTATAGCACAGAATAGGCAACAACTGCTCTGATATTCTCAGGCTGTCCCTTCC